TTTCATTTATGAATTTTTGGAAGTAGATTACTAGGCTTTTCTTCCCAGTCTGTCTTATTCTGATAGTTGAAGCCTGTTCATCATCATAGCAACAAGTCAGCCTCCACTGGCAGATGAAACAGTGTTAGCTGCACATGAGGTATATTGGCCAGAAATCAAACTGAGCTCTCTAGCATGGAAAGCAAGAATTCTACCACTGAACAACCAACGCCTCACATTCATGTAGTCACATCATTTACTGACTGTTTTGGTTAAACTGTTTCTGACCACAGTCTTTTGATGCCAACTCCAAGTTTCTTTCCATCATACATCAGCTAATTTTTAATTTCCTTCCTCTCATGTACCACATCATACCATATTTTAAAAAATCATTAATTTGACTGCATTATCTCTCCTTTCCCTTCTCTCATCAAAATTCACTATCCTCAAAACACTTCCTCCAGGATTTTGCTCTTAGGAGTCCCTCTGGTTGCTGCTGTTGTTGTTATGTGCCGTGGAGTCGGACCCGACTCGTAGCGACACCTCCTTGGGTTTCTGAGGCAGTATCACTATGGAAGTAGATTGCCCCATCTTCCTTCCAAGGAGTGGCTGGTGGGTTTGAACCACCAGCCTTCTGGTTAGCAGTCAAGTGTCTTAGGCACTAAGCTACCAGAGCTCCCAGAGTCCCTCCTAGACTAACAATTACTGAGTAATTATTACTTGGTTGAATATTTCATCTAGGTTGATATTTGTAATTCCATGTAATATTTTCCCACTACCTTGGGAGATGGGAGGCCCCTTGTTGATCCACATATCACATTGTAAGTTTTTTTTTTTTTTTTTTAAATCATGCTTTGGGTGCAAATTTACATGTATTATAACATTTTTAACTTGCAACTTCAGAATTTGTGAGAGGCCTTAATATGAAGTATATATTTCTTGTCATATAACTTATACAACCAAATATTCCTGTCTTAAAAAGAAAAAAGAACTTATTAAAAAATATCAACTATCCCAGAAAAACTTCAAGTCCAGTGGTTTTGCTTTATACTCTCATGTCTTTAATAGCATTTTTTTGTTGAACTTTAAAGTGAGATAATTAAACATGTCAGTATACTTCAAAATGCAGACTTATTATACACTTGTTTGTCGCAAAATATTCATGGCCATAATTGACATTATTGGAATATTTTATCATTGTGTTTGGATAGCAAAACAGAGAGAAATCAGATGGCTGTGCTTTCAATGAATTGCTTTAAGTCTTGGTTATTTCAAAAAACAACACCATTTTTTTTTCCTATTAAAATCATTGGTTTCTTCCACCTTCATGTCCAGCAGAAAATATTGGTCACTTTAATGGAAAGAATGATAATAATGGCCATCAGCATGCCATCAGTTTAAGAACAAGATTAAAGTTGTTTGGTTGTAATAAAATTGAGCCTCTCTGTCTATGATAAAAGCAACACAACAGCATCATTATTCTTACCAAAATAGATAGAACAGAATGCAATTACAATGATATTAGAATAATAGGTATTTAAGTTAACGTGATGAACATAAAGATCATTATACAATGAAGGGTATTTATGCAAGACTTAATGTTTAATCTTGGGTCAAAAGCATTTATCAACCAAGGAAAATATTTCACAGAAATGAAATGGTAATTTACCTAGATGGTTTGATATGAGTGATGCTGGGAAGACCTACACAACCACATATACTCCATAAAGGACCCCGATGCCCAAGGATGCAGAATGGGGACATTCCATGGTTCCTTATGCTCATATTATTGTTGACACATATTTTCCCACAATCCAACATTTATTGTAGGTATCCAATTAAAAAAAAAAAAAAAAAACCTAGATAAGTAGATATCCTTGGTTTCTTACCTGTGTGTTTACCCAGCGTAATGATTAATATGACAGCCTGTGGAGCAAAACTTCATGGTTTGAGTCCTGTTCTGCAGCTTAATAGTTTTCTAAATTTAGAAACATTACTTAAGCCCTCCAGAAAAAAGCAGTAGGAATTTCCTCTGTGGTTTTTATGACCATTGAATGAGTCAGGGCATATAAAGTATTTAAAACACTGCAAAGTGCTCAACAAATGTCATTGATATTATAATATTATATTATCACATATTTTCAGAATGCAGATAGCATCATGTAGACATAAAAACAGTATTTAAACATACAGTCAATTAATGCTTAAAGTAATGAAAACCGCATTAGAGATAAAAGACTAAACCTCAAAGAATTTAGAGTCCAATGATTAAAACATCCTCATTTCCTTCAAGGGTCTTCTCAGACACAGCTAGTTTACTACCAAATTCATTATAACATTCTGGGGGCCAGTAAGAGGTCCTATCCTCTGAATGTGTGAGCCACACTTACTTACCACTGAACTTGAAGGTATTGGACAACTATTCCTATCCAGTGCTTTCAAGTGGATTCTAGATAGAAGTGAAGTCATCAGTAGCTTTCTGTTTGTCTTAGGACATGACTGTGGAATCACTGACCTCACTTTTAATAGGTTTAACAATATTGTCTCTGTTGTTGTTGTTGTTATATGCCATCAAGTCAGCCCTGACTCATAGCGACCCCTCCTTGGGTTTCCGAGGCAGTATCACTACAGAAGTAGGATTGCCCAACCTTCCTTCAAGGAGTGGCTGGTGGGTTTGAACCGCCAGCCTTGTGGTTAGCAGTCAAGTGCCTTAGGCACTATGCTACCAGAGCTCCTAGTTATTCTTTCTCCACACTTTCTTGTAGCCACATAAATTTTCTGTCAGGACCTCAAACGTGTCATGTTCTTTTGCATCTCAGGACCTCTTCACATTCCCCTCCCCTGTGTGGAACACTCTCCATACATGGTGTCTGCCTTAAACCCCTTCAGATTCCTTGTGAAAGCACAACTACTCATGGCAATACTCACTAATTCTTTCACAGACCTGGCTGCATTTCCATTACATGCTCTCTTCTTAATGTTTGTGTAGGCTGCTGTCAAGTCAGCTCTGACTCATGGCAACTTTATCTATAACAGAATGAAACTGTCCAATCTTGTGCCATCTTCAGGATCATTGATATCTTTCAGTCCATTATTGTTGGCATTGTGTCAGTCCATCTCAATGAAGGTTTCTCTCATTTTCACTGACTCTATCAAATACAATATCCTTTTCTAGTAATTAGTCTTTCCTGATGATTTGTCCAAAGTGGGTGACTTGAAGTCTTGCCATCCTCACTTCTAAGGAAAATTCTTATTTAGTATTGAGCCCTCTTTTTTCTTTTTAATATTTATTACAAATATAAACATATAATTAACTTTATAAAGACAATGTTGTTGTTGTGTTGTTATGTGCCGTTGAGTCGGACCCAACTCATAGCGACCCCTCCTTGGGTTTCCGAGGCAGTATCACTATGGAAGTAGATTGTTCCATCTTCCTTCTGAGGAGTGGCTGGTGAGTACATCATATTTACTGATAACTGATGCAAATTAAAGTATATGCATTCAGTATGTCATCAATACAAAGAAGAGTAGGAGTAACAACAAATGGGAGCAGGAGAGAAAAGGAAAACAAGAATGAGTGTGAGAGAGGGAAAGAGAGAAAGCATAAGCATTTAGATACCACAGGTTATCCCATCCACTATTCCAGGTGACAAGCTTATGAGCTAATGCCCAGGAGTAGTCATAGGAAAACATGAGACATTTGCCCTGCTGTTTTCTCCATTATTCTTATTCCCAACTGTCTTCTAGTGTAGAGTCTCATTGCCGTTGAGTCAGATCCAATTCATAGTGACCCCTCTTTGGGTTTCTGAGGCGGTATCACTACGGAAGTAGATTGCCCAGCCTTCCTTCCAAGGAGTGGCTGATGGGAGAACTCTAGTATTCGAACATACCTTTTTTCAAACACCATCACTCCTTCACATAAGCCAATGATTTTATCTTGTGCTCAATTAAGAACGAAAGTGGTCCTAAATCTCTAGAAAAATTGGCCATGTTCAATTAATTGGGAGACACTATTGGGACCTCAAGGTAACATTATCCTAGGGAAATTTAATTATGTATAATTTTTACCTTACTTGCTAATTTAGAAACTAACATACAAAGAAGATCTAGCTCTCTCCATTTTTGTTTAATGTTTGTAATCTTGGCTACAATATAAGGTCTGGAGGGCAGACCCCTCACATATGTACGTTCTTCACACACAGCAGGACACCCACATCATGTGTTATTGTCATTAGCTGTCATCACGTCGACTCCAACTCATGGCAATTTTACATACAATGGAATGAAATGTTCTCTAATCCTGCATCATCCTCACAATAACCAGTTTGTTCAAGTCCATCGTTATGACTACTGTGTTGGTCCTTCTCAGCCAGAGTCTCTCTTGCCCTTTTTGGCCCTCTCATTTACCTACATGATACTCTCCTGTAGAGATTTATCCCTCTTGATGACCTATCTGAAGCAAGCAAGTCAGACAGTGTTCTTGTTATCCATAAAGTTTTCATTGGCTAATTTCCAGAAGTAGATCAGATCTTTCTCCTACTCTGTCTTAGTCTGGAAGCTCTGCTGTAACCTGTCCATCATAAGTGATCTTGCTGGTATTTGAAATACTGCTGGTATATCTTCCTGCATCATAGCAACATACAAGTCACCAAAGTATGACAGACTGACAGGTGGAGGATGGCCTGGATCATGCTTAATAAATAAATATTTGTTGAATTAATTAACATTCTACTCAGAGTTTGCACACACAGTCTATTTGGCAGCAATACTGAATTTAAACTTATGAAGACTAAAGAAGCAGAGGAGAGAATTCCAGGCCCTTTAGCATAACCCAGACCTAGATAGCCTGAGTCTTTTCATAGACACTAAATTAAAGCAGCAGAAAAACTGAAAGCTGAGCAAGACAAAGCTCAGTGTGTTAGAATGAAGACTTATAGGGATAAAGTCACATTCTGTCCTTCAATTCTCTCTTCAAGTCAAACTCTAACCAAAAAAAGCTGACACTTCCCTTATCATTTTAGGTCGAACGAGCCGAACTCGATTTATCATTATGCCAACCCAAGGAGAAGGACGGCCATGCCCCACAGAGCTTACCCAGCAGAAAACCTGCCCAGTGACCCCCTGCTACAGCTGGGTCCTTGGTAACTGGTCTGCATGTAAATTGGAGGTAGGTCATGTAATGACACTTAGATAAATGTTTTTCAGTTTGTTGAAATCACTTGTCTAGTCAAACATATGTGCTGATGGAATAAATTTCACAGCTCCAGGAACCTGGCACAATGTAATTTTAACACAATAGAAACATGGAAAAATACAACCAAGTGACTTAACCTCATGCAGAGTGAGATTACTAGGAAAAGAAATAGCCATTCATTAGGCATTGATTATAACAGGCCAGGCATAAGGATTTCAAACTTTTTGGCAACCTCAAGAATTCTATGTTATTTCCTTGGCTTGTTAGGAATATCAAAGTATTATTTAATTAGGCAAAACCTTGATGCTGCATAGATTGTATTTTTAAAAGAGGCACTTTTAAGCTTAGACAAAATCTTGCATATGGGCAGAAAACCAAAAGTATATGAAAGTTATATTTTAACATTATTACACGAAACAGGGTTACCACATTTTCCTCATGATTACTTTTTTATTGGATTGAAATATAAATGCCTTGCAACATCGTAATATATCACGTGCCCAGAGCTTTTGCTAAATCAGCAAAGAGGATCTACTGCATTTTCTCTCTGGCTTCTTGCTTAAGAAAAAGCACACTGATTTTCCCTATTATTTTACTACTCTATCTTTCAGTTCCTGTTCTAAAGTATATTTTAACTAGGTCACAATCGTTGGGTATACATTAAAAATCTAAGGCATATTCTCATAGAGATGTTTAGTGTTCCTGTTAGGATGACATTGTAGCGTGGGATTATTATCTTGCAGAAGTTAAATACCCATGTGTATTAATAGGCTCTGGGGGTGGGGGGAGTGTGGTACATTGGTTCAGTTTTCTCTTAACAGAAACTAAGGTAACCATGCTAATTAACTAACTGAATAGTACCATAACAGCTTTAAGTATGAATACTTCGTCTCCTAGTCTAATGTCTTCTTTCCTGTACTGTTAGTATTTTTAATGCTGTTTGGAATCACATACAAGTATAACATATGGAGAATGTTTCTCCTTACGGTTCTGATGAATACTGGTAGAGAAAATACATTCAGATGCTTCAGGAACTCATTGCAGGACAAGGGAGAGGAAAGAAAGTTATGAAGAAGAGAAAGAGAGGGGAGGAAGGAGAAATAAGAGATGGACAAACTTCATATTCCAAGTTTTACCAGCCAGACAAGTGTTATGGTAACTTATTTGTTGTTTTAGACATTATCTTTTACCTTCTTAAGTGTTAGGAGCCTCTTTTGGTATTTATGTCAGCTAACTTATTTCAAAGGAATATTTTGGGAAAATGCCAAATGCTGTGTTTATTTTACATCACGTATTTTGCTCTTTCCAAAATTACAGGAACAATAGTGGTGGGTTGTGACCATTCTCTGTAGTGGTGTTGGTGGTGGGTGGGAGTTAATGTTATCTTTTTGAGATAACCAGACTTGGAGACCACTAGAAGAAATAACCAATTTTTGCCTCCAGAAATTTCAGAACTGCCTCTGATTTCTAGATGGAGTTAGTCCCCTCACTGAAATTCCAGTCAGGAGCTAACTCTGGAATTAACCTTAATCCAGGCAAAGCCTTCAAAAAACAAGATGTTGTAGTGAATTATTCTTAGGTAGACACTTTATCCAAGCAGGCCTATAAGCATTCTTCCCCAAGAGTTTGAGAAAGAATTGAAACTATTTGATGATATTATAATCAGGAACATTTACCTAACAGGTTTTTTCCCACCTTTGTGGATAAAGTCAGTCCACAAGCAAAAGAGAACACTGAAGGGGACATATAAAGAAAAGCAGACAAATGAGACAGCAAATAATGATATTTGGGTTGACATTTCCCTGAGGTGGACCTGCATTCTTACTATTCCTGCTGCCTGATTAGAAACTCTGTGAGATAACAGTATCTTTTCAATAAATTACCTTTTCTTAAATTAATTAATAATTAATTAATTTTGTAAGTTGAATTTTTTTGAATCTCAATCGAAATGCTCCTGGACATTTGCACACAAAGAAAAAAACACCATCTCTGTTTTTCTTTGGATATATCATGTCCAAACCTACCAAATGCTTCTTGGGAACCCATTTACTGAAGGTGTTGATTATCCTACATATTAATTTTTTTTTAAATTAAAAAAATCCCTATGACTACCCACTCCCTATGCCCTTCTTAACTATGCATTCCTATCTGTCCAGCTTTCCCTCTTTGTGAATGCTGCCCCTCTGGTGTCTTATGTCTGATTGATCTAAGGGGTGCATCTACTTAGAGTAGGTAGAGGTATCACCCTGGGTTAAGTGTTCTGCATGTAGATCTTTCTACTGTTAGGCTGAGAGCCAATCCATGGAAGTGAATCTGTTTCTAGGCCCAAAGGGTAACACAGCACCACAGTCTCAAGGGTTCTCTATTTGACTAGTAATCCTGGTCACTTTTGTGTTTTTGAATTTTGTTCCACATGTTTTTTTCTCCCACTCTATCCAGAATCTCCAGTTTTGATCCCTTTCTGAGTGGTTGGCATTGGTATTCAGGCACCATCTAATTCTTCTGGCCTCAGAGTCATGAAAGCTGAGGTCCTCATGGTCCATCTTATCTTTGAACTAATTATTTCCAAATGCCTTTGATTTTCTTCACTCTTTTTGCTCCAGATGAGAGGAGACAAAATAGTTGCATCTTAGGTGGCTGCTCGAAAGCTTTTAACCCCAGTCACTACTCACCAAACTAGATTGTATAACAAGATTTGTATGTACTATATTGTGCCAATTGAGCATGATGTCCCCCAAGACTATGTTCCTGAGTCTGCAGGCCTGGCGATTCTCTTTCTCAAGGTGTTTTGTTTTCTCTCAGAAGTTACTCCACCTCTGTCTTCTGTTGCTTCTGTAATGTATGTGGCTAATTTTGTAGCACAAGTGCATATGTAAGATTATCTTCAGCCAAATCTATCCTTGGTCTTGGATATATTCTTGTTTGCCTACCCCCACCTGATCTTCACACCTGTCCATGCATTTATCCTAAACTATTACATACACAATACATTAAACAGAAGGCTACGGATGATCCTATATATTTAAGGGATTGATTGCCTTTAAGAAATACCCATCATTATAAAGAAGCTCTGGATGGGAGCTCTGGTGGTGTAGTGCCTACGGCCTTTGACTGCTAACTAGAAGACTGATGGTTCAAATCGACCAACCACTCCTCAGAAGGAAGGTTAGGGAATCTACTTTCATAGTGATACCACCTCGGAAACCCAAGGAGGGGTCGCTATGAGTTGGATTTGACTTGGCAGCAGTGAGTAAGATGGTATAGTGTGTAAGGCATTTGACTGATAACCAGAAGGTTGGTGTTTCAAACCCACCAAACACTCTTCAGAAGGAAGACTGGGCAATGTACTTCTGTAGCGAGACTGTCTTGGAAACCCAAGGAGGGCTTGCTATGAGTTGAAATTGACTTGACAACAGTGAGTTTGGTTTCCTTTTTCCTTTTTCTTTTTTTTTTTTTTTTGCACAAGGTACAATGGATACACCAATTCTAGCATAATTTTCTGTGGAAAGACATCAGTAAAAGAAATACTTGTCCTCAGGCATTATTTTTTCTTTTTGTTGTTGTTGTTGTTAAGTGCCATCGAGTCATTTCTGACTCATAGCGACCCCATGCACAGCAGAACGAAACACTGCCCGATCCCACGCCAGCCCCACAATCCCTGCTATACTTGAGCC